TTCAAAAAGAACGAAACAGCATGCTGTCCGCAGATTGAGTATATATATATATACTATCAGGTTCGGCCTCATTTCCTCTGTGCTGCGCTGATGAGTTCAAAAAGAACGAAACAGTATGCTGTCCGCAGATTGAGTATATATATATATATATATATATATATATATAAAATTATAAATGACGAAGTCTGATGAAAATGTTGATCAGTCTCTGCTGGGATGACGACTACACCATAGCTCAGTGGTTAGAGCATCGCTAGCTGCAAGCGAGGGTCCCTGGTTCGAGTCCTGGTGGTGACAGTCAATTTTTTCTTCAGACTTTTCCCGTTTGTCTCTTTCCCACAAACTAGTGAAGATAAAATTATAAATAAATAAATAACTAAATAGTCTAGGTGAGAATCATAGGTGAAGATAAGTGTGGCAAGTGTGGTGGTGTGAGCTGTCTATGTTGATATGAGCGATCATTTTGCTATCCTGGCCCATATGCCTTGCTTTGGCATGAGAATGGCATATTCTGGACACCCAGCCGCCAAACGCCAAGGTAGGCGACTCCATCGGATAAATTGGAACACATTCAATGAGGACTTGAACCATCACCTAGCGAATTGTACCTTTACCGGAAATCTTGACAATGCTGTGCAGAGTCTTACCACCTCTATCATATCTACCCTGGATGTGCATGCACCATTGATCCATCGGCGCCGACAGGAGAAACGTCCTTGCCCCTGGCTAACACCGGTGCTAGTTGCCGCGGTTCGTGAGCGAAACCAGTTCCATCGCCGGTTGGTGAGTGACAAAGGCAATGCGGATCTGCGTGAGCTCCACCGTCAGGCCCGCTCTACTGCAAGGAAACTGGATCGCCGTCTACGTAATGCCTACTTCATGAATCAGTGTGCAACTCGTGATCAGAGACAGTTGTGGTCAGTTATGAACATTGTTACAGGCCGTGCTAAGCAGCGTCAAGAACCTCAAGCCGGCATCGAGGACCTGAGCAAAACCTTTGGGGATGTTGTGCGCGACCCAGACCGACCATCCACGCTAACACCACCAAGTGGACCGATGCCAGCATCTAGCTTTCTGCAATTTGAACTGGTGTCGATGAGTGATGTGAAAGCTTGTCTGAAGTGCATAAATCCTGCGAAGGCCACGGGCAGTGATTGCGTTCCTGTTTTAGTGTTGAGGGAATGTGCCGATAGCCTTGCTGGGCCACTCACGGATATCATTCATGGATCACTGTCCACTGGAACAGTACCAATGATGTTCAAGCAATCGTTTATTAGTCCTTTGTATAAGTCAGGAGACCCCACAGTGCCAGTTAACTACCGCCCAGTTTCTTTATTGCTGGTCATATCTCGTATTCTCGAACACTTTGTGAAAAAGCAGCTCGTGGAATATCTCACAGCGCATGAACTTTATCCGAAGACTCAGTTTGCGTATCGGAAGTGTCACTCGACGAAAGATGCACTTGTGCTTGCCGTCAACAGGTGGGTGCTTGCACGCTCACACCGCCACTTCACGGGCATCGTCATGGTAGATATGAGTAAAGCCTTTGATCGGGTGCAGCATGAACGACTCATCTCTGAGTTGCATTCCCTTGGTATTTCATCTAGTGCTCTACAATGGTTTTGTAGCTATCTGACTGAAAGAAGTCAACAGGTTCGAATTGCAAACTCAGTCTCCTCATCAGTGCATTGTTCCCGTGGTGTGCCACAGGGCAGTGTACTTGGTCCCTTGCTGTTTGTTCTATACACGCGCCTTTTAGATGCCATCTTGCCTGAACAAGTCATCCACCAAGAGTTAGCTGATGACATCATACTAGAGTTCTCCGACAGCGATCTCAACACTGTGTGCCGACAGCTTAGTGCAGCTGCCACTTCTGTATCACGTTGGCTTGCTGAAATTGGGCTGTTGCTCGATGCACTCAAGGTTACCCCTACTGCCAAATACCTTGGGGTGGTCATTGATTGCGAACTGTCATGGAAGCAGCATGTGGTCAACGTGACTAAGCCAACTGCCCAGACCATTGGTCAGCTCAGGCGCCATAGTCGTGCTCTAAGTTTATCAGCCAGACGGTTGTGGTTCATTAGCATGATCAGCAGCCATCTCTGCTATGCGTCTACGGCTTTCTATCCGTGCCTCACAGTGCAGTTGTTGGATCACTTGGTCAAGATTTTCAAATCCGGAGTTCGCGCCGTTTTCCAGGTGCCTTCTACCACCCCATCATCTCCTCTTCTCGGTCGACTTGATCTTCTTACGCTTACTCAGATATATCAGCAAAAATTATTATTTTTTGTTCACAGATGTCTTGGTGCTGAAAGGATCAGTAGTCTTTTCAGCACTTTCTTTGATTTGGTCAATGGTCGTGCCACGCGTGGTCAGGCTTCACGTCTGCTTCGTGTCCCGTTTTTGCCGGGTCATTCCGGTCGATCCACTGTTCAGTTCATTGGTAGTGTGTCCTGGAGCTGCCTGCCGCCTGATGTCCGCTCCATCAAAATTCCTTCTGCATTTAAGAAAGCAATTACAAACGATATCTTAAACTCTCTTATCCTCTCCTAACATCTCAAAGACGTATAACTGTCAACATTCCCTCCACACTGGAACCTTTGGATCCGTGGCATTATTTTCATGAAAAATTCATCAAATTCAAATTCGTTTCTTGTAGTACTCCCTCATTGATTTGTTTCCGTCTTCTCTTTGTGCCTTGTTCATGATTGTATTTTCCTCTTCCTCCTTTTCTTATAATATAATCACCACCTTCATCATTTTGCGAGAACTGTGGCAATACGCCCAGTGAGAAGGCAGATTTTGCCTGTGCTTCTGGTGAAGTAAAATGAAGCTAAACCAACAAACAAACAAGTATCGCATCCTGAGAGAAATCTGCATGCACCGCCGATAGTGCAGTGCATTGAGCATTCAAGAGTTGCGTAGTGTAGACACAATACTGCTCAAGCGAGCTAAGACAAAGATCCGTGTCGTCAAATCTGTCGAACCAGGCCTCAGTCAAACTGGCTGTTTACAAGTGTCCAGATAGCCCGCCGCGTGTCAAGCATCGCATCCTGAGAGAAATCTGCATGCACCGGTATGCTGTGAAGTATGGCTGCCCTTTCGGTATGCTGTGAAATATGGGCTACCCTTTCCAGGCCTCAGTCAAACTGTTATCAAATTGGCTGTTTACGAGTGTCCAGATAGCGCGCCGCATGTCAAGCGTCGCATCCAGAGAGAAATCTGCATGCACCGGTATGCTGTGAAGTATGTCTGCCCTTTCATATCCAGGGTTCTACCGCATCTGATCTGTCTCGATAAGCGGTACGGCTTGGAATGTGAGTATTTTCCATTTGGAGACCTGTACTGGTACATGATAAGGGCGGAAGCTACTTACAACAGGCCCGTCAAGCTCTTAGGTGACGCTGCCAAGGGCACTATGAACCTACATAGCATCGGCGTTTTGCATGGAGACATCAAACCGTCGAGCTTTGCTGTTGTCGTAGCGCAGAACGGCACGCCCAGGGCCAAGGAGATTGACTTCGGCTCGGCCAAGCTAATATCGGGCGTCAGTTGAAAGGAGGCGTAGGCCTGTTCGCGGACATGCTGCAGTTCCGTTGTCCCGAGGTGGCCCACCTGCTGAGGGGTGCCGAACTGAATCTGGGTCCCTTCGATGACATGTGGCAGTTCGGTGTGATGTCTTTGAAAGTGTTGACCAGGACGTTCAAGCTACCCTCAAGCGTCCCAAACATGATCAATCAAGACTTCCACTATGTTATGGTAAACCTGCCGGATAAGGGCACACCGGAAGACCTGGGCCCCCACACATATCCTCTGCAGTTCCAGAAACCCATTTTCCACAACCGGCCACAATTCGCGAACTTCCTCATTACGAACCTTCTGCGCCTTGACGCCAATGACAGGTTCAGTGCAGAACGCGTTATGCAAGAGCTGGAATACGAGGCCAGAATACACGAGCCAATCCGGGATAAAGACTGACAGGATGATTTCGAGCGACGACGAAGAGACTAGTGACCACCAAGACTACTGAAGTCTCCCATGGACATTATGGATTGGAAACTGCCGTTGGTTAAATCTCCTCTAAGCTAAAGGAACACATTGGTGCAGTACGTATATTTTCGTACTTACTGTTTTTGCGCACAAACTGCTGTGAAATGAGTCGCGTTCACTTTGTCAACCTTTCCTGGCATGCCAAGAAAGAACACCATGCAAGGAAAGCGCCATTTCATAACAATTGGCAATTAGAATGGACATTAGTTGCCGAATTGGTGATAGGACGTAAGGTCTGGCGCTAGCCAGGGTCCACACAGCGTTAATAACATCCCTATGCTTTTTTGCCTAGGTCATCAATGTGGTAGACGGCGTCATGTTACCCTCGAATGCAAAAAAAGCATAGCGTAGGGCCCTGAGCTTCCAAGCTCTCTCGTTGGATACACGAGTGGATTATCATTATTGGGAGACCAAAATATGAATTACAAGTCGAAGCAAACCTCCATGATCGTGACGGCGGCACCCGTGTCAATTTCGAATACGGTTGGAACGTTGTTAATACGCAAGGTACACATATACGAATCAACGTGTGCACTTGCGGCGGTACGAGTGTCCGGAACATCTGATGCTCCAGCCGAGGTATGAAACAATGAGTACTCATCAGACGGTGCAACTGTACTGCTGCTAGTGTTCATACTACTGGTACTGGCAGACTGTTCACCAGAAAATATTTCCAGAGATTAGGAAATGACAGCAAGTAGAAAATTAGTAGAAGATTAGAAAATGACAGCAAGGTCGTGTACGACAGCAAGGCCAGAAATCACTGTGATGAGGGGCATATGTTGTACCATGCGTTATGTTGCTGGATCATGTATGCATTACAGCCGTGCAAACCATGGCACCGTGTCCAAGGCCCAAGGTGTGTGTACGTGTTTGTGTGTGCATGTATTTGTGTTTGTATGTGTGTGCGTGCTCGTGTACGGTTATTTTGTTTGTTTTGCTGTGAACAGAGCCTCCTACGCCAATTTTGATGACGATAGCAAACAATAAATTCATTACTTTGAGCATCCAAGTGGCCATCGGTAAATATAACCTGAAGGAAGTTTGCTATTCTCATGTGTTATCCTGGATTTCGGGAACTGCACCTTCAACAACGGCATCTCCCAGTCCTACTTCGCCTTGTGTCATGTCAAGTACGGGCACAGGAGGGAATACTGTCCAAAATATGACTCATCACACAGTAACGATTAAATATGGATACGATAGTTCTTCAGCAGCAGGGACACTGGAGGATGATGCAACATATTCATTCACGGATATTTATGTGAAGAATACAGGGACTGGAACATCTGGCCATTTAGCAGGTCCTATTACTGGAGCAACAAATCCTGCAGGTGAGTTGCTGAACATGTAGCTGCTGTAGAGGAGAGCCTTAACTACTACTTTATTATGTAAATTGTACATTAACACGTAGGGGGTCTTAGTCAATGTATGTGAGGGGTGGTCATGCAAACATGCATACAAACAACCAGCCATAACTCAAGTTCGGTGAGTTGTAGGTATGGGTAAACTATATATTTTCAAAATCTGTATGCCTGGACGAGTCCAGAAAACACAAATATGACTATGTCCAGTCAAGGGTATGACCCATGGTAGCCCTTCGAGTTGAGAGAAAATACAATTGCGAACAAAAAACACAAAAAACACAGCACGAAGTGCATACCAAGTTCGTGATGGAACTGAGGTCCTATGATAAACAATCAGGTAAGCGCTACGTCTTGGTGAAAAATATATGCTTCTAAGCCCGTCCTTGAACTCCGCTACCTCGCCATCGGTGATACACCAGCAGCAGCAGTTCCACAATATCACAATTTTGGTTCGTTCACCTCAGCGCCACTCGAGTCAGATTCACTCTCGCTCAGATGAGCACTCAGGCGCGATGTCACGCATGCCGTGATTCTCAAGGCCAGGCGAATCAGCTGATCGCACCTGACAAGTCCTTGTAAGAGTTGCTGTTGCTGTGCTTCCTCGCTGGTTGGTAAATTTGATTTCTTCATTCGGGGACGATTTATTTGAGCTAGGAGGACTTAACGGAGCTCTCTTTCTCACCACATTACACTGGAAATCCTCCAGGGATATCCAGCCTAGACTGGTGCCGTCAGTGTCCTCAAAAAGCTTTTCTGACACGGCCTCAAGAGATGCACTCCCATTCTCGAAATGAGCGCATGGCGGATGGTCGTCTTTTCCAATTTCACCAGACTTCAGTCGATCGATACTGCAAAAAATTGTATGGTAAGTATGGTTGCCATCTGGCATTATGGACAATTTTCACGACACGAAAAAGTTTAGTTGGCACTCTCCAAAACCGACCTGCCCTATAGGTCCCTTGCAGAAAGATACGTTGATTTGACAGCTAGAGTGGATTGATGTTTGAGGTATCACTTTTCCTTTAGTGTAAAGGATCAACAACAGAAGAACATTCCGAAAAGCAAAGGCGAGCAAAGAACACTGCTCAACCAGCGCTTCTTACACAACAAGGCAGCCTTGAATTTTTGGACACAGCGTTCTGCAGCTTCGTTGGTTGCAGGGAAGTATTGTTCACTGCGCAGGTGGATGATACTTTTCAAAGCCATGCAATTGCTCCACTCCATGCGTTGTCTGTCACGATTGCATCAGGAGAACCATACGCCGCAAACAGCTTCCTGAACTCTGCGATAGTTGTCTTGCTGGTGGTGGAGGACTTATGAGAGCATGTCTGAGAGTACCAAAGTATGTGTGCAAGTAGATCTCTTCGATTTCGCTCAAAATTTGCTGGTAGGTTTCCTTTGGGGGTGTGGATCGATTGTGCAAAGCCCTTGAAAAGGTTTCTGAAGGGAACCTTGAAATGTGCATACCCTCAAAAATGGCCGAAATATCACATTATTTATGGGTCTAGAAACGAGTCACGCCGCAGCGTATACGAACAAGCTAAGAAAAAAACTCCATCTAGCCAACTGTAGTAGAGGGACTTTCCCCTACACAGATCACTATGTATTACTATGTATTGCACTATGCATTGCTGACAACATCAGATCCCTTGCTTTCATTCGCTAGCTAGCGTTCGGAGCTGTAACTGGCAATCTCGTACCGTATATAGATCCGTGTGTCAGTTGCCCAACTCAGTTGTTGCAGAGTCTTTGCCTCCGTTGTTTCTGTCGTCTTACCTTCACTTATTGAGTCTTTCAATATACTATAAGTTAGTTCTGTGCTACCTACGTTTGTCTTTTCGTGCACTATTGTTCCCTGAGAATACTACCTGTGTTTTGAGTCGGAGAGACTGAACCAGTTTTGCCTTGTCACTCGGTCGCGTACTACATTTGGTGGCAGCGGTGTTAGCTCTGCGTTCATCAGTCGCAGTATTTCCGGACCACCCCTCGTTATTTCGCCATGCAGTGAACGTTGCCGTTGCCGTTCTCGTCTCAACTCAAGCTGAGTAACTTTGTTCCGTGCCAATTTACGATTTTAATATTTACATTTTTGTAGTGCTAGTATTTTCTAGGCTTACTTTGTTGGATCTATTCGTAGTCTTGTCCCCTAAGTAAGCTAGCTCTTCGTTGCCAGTTTTTCTCGCATTGCTCGCCGTACTTGAACTGTTGCTATAGCATAGGCTGAGTCCTCAAACGCGTCCCGTGTTGCTTGCGAAGTCCTATAGGCCTACTTGTTTGTTTGTTATCCTTATATACACGACACCGAAAATGGCACAGAATCCTCAAGCTGCTGCTGCCGCTCCTGCCGCTGCCGCTGCTGCTCCCGCTGCACCAGCTCTGGCTCCGGGTCAGTTTCTGGCTCCTCGACAGGCACCACTTGCTCGGCCGGTAGTTGTACCGCCGACGTTTGGGGGTGCCAGCCAAGACGATTGGCACTGCTTCATCGCCAGGTTCGACGCAGCGTGCGTGGTAAATGGGTACCTGGATGCGGAAATGATGCAGTTTTTGCCTTGTTGTTTCAAGGAGAGTGCTTTTACAACTTACCAGACCATTCTGGCGGCGCACCCGCAGTATACGTATGTAGAAATGTGCACCGAATTAGGGCTACGGTTCGAACCGCCACAGCAAAGTCGCCTCCTTGAGGCCGGGTTTCGAGCTCGACTGAAACGATCAACTGAGTCCCAGGCCGAGTTCGCCGCAGCTCTTCAGCGCCTTGCGGCACGCGCCTTTCCAGGTCAACAGGGTCCGCTGTTAGATCGCCTGACGCTCAATCAATTTATTGACGGCCAGGTCAATAGTGACCTGCGCCTGCACATCAGGACATCCAGCCCTGCAGCCCTCGATGCCGCCGTTCGTCGGGCTTATGAAGTCGCAGCTATCCTGGAGGTCGAGAATCGCCGCGGCCTCCCGGTTCCCACACCAGCCTGCGCTGCCCTGACCGCCTCTATGCCTCAGGCTCAGGCACACTCCGTAGGTCCACTCGCGGATCCGACTCCTACGTCCAGTGCCACCGTGGCCCACGTAGCTCCGAGTTCGACTTCGAGCTCCACCGACCCGCTCGTACTATCGTTGTTGAGCAAAATTTCGGACCAGCTAGCTGATCTACAGGTCTTCTCCGCAACCTCCGCTCCGTCGCCATGGGCGTATAGTGACGACACTCGAGCTCCACGCGGCCGTGGTCGCAGCGTCTTTCCTCGAAGCGCGCCCATGTCTGGCCCAACTCGATTTCCTGGCAGCTCGAATCGTAACCCGCCTCGGTACAACGGCACAGGCCGCGGACTTTACAATGGCGCGCGTGATCGCGAGTGCTTCGCTTGTGGCGATCCGTCCCACTTCCGTCGTGATTGTCCCCACTCGACGCGTGGCGGTCGTCAGCCGGGCAACCGCTATTGACTGGTGCTGCTCGGCAAGCTCCAGTCTTCGATACTAGTGTTCCTAGCTCGACTGTGCCAACTTGTACTGGTTGTGAATGTAGTCCCTGTTATTGTACTGTTGATGTGCGTTGCCCTACGTCTGCACCTGTGACTGTGTGTCCTGTTACTCATGTTCAGTCGTCTTCTGCAGTTTCTCCGTCTGTCTATGTTGAGGTTAGTCTCCAAGATACGAAATGCCATGCTCTTGTTGACACTGGTTCTAGTGTTTCACTTGTGTCTACTGCATTGTGGCGTAGTCTGTGCACGACCTCCTCTGTCCCTGTGTCTGCTGCTCCTGTTGTGTCTGGTGTGACGGGCCGTCCCCTCTCCACTACGGGTACCGTGTCCCTTTCTGTTTGTACACCCTCGTTCGCAGCTGTTCAGAATTTTATCGTTGCTGCTGATATCACGTCTGATGTAATCCTCGATGCTGACTTCCTCCAGCAGCACAATGTCCTGCTTGATTTCCCCCGGGCTCAGTTGGTCCTGGATGATGTTAAATTGCCGCTTGTACCCATTCCACGTGTGCGTTCGCTTTCTGCTGCTGTTGCTGCCGTGCCCACACCAGCCCATATTACGACTGTCGTGCCCGACCTGAGTGCTCCGACCGTACCTGCTGCCATCCCTGCCTCCGTGCTTGCTGCTGTTGCTGCCAATGCTGTTGAATCTCCGGTGTCTCGTGTCGCTTCCTCGTTCCGTGTGTGCATCACACAGTCTGTTTCAGTTCCGCCCTGTCATGAAGTCATTCTTCCGGTTGCCCCGTCGGTATGTGCTGCTGGCTCTCCTGCTGCTGATACTTCGTATCTAATCGAGCCACTTGATTCGAGAAACACCCGACATTGGATGTCGGAACGTCTGTCACGTCCCCGGATAACTTGGTTATCAATGTGGTTAACCGTGGTACCACCAAGATTACCTTGCATGCAAATACTCATATTGCTGTATGTGAACCTGTCCCTGAGTGTGCTGACACTTGTGCTGCTGTTGATGATTCGCCGTTCATGCCGCCGCCGCCTGTACCAGTAGAGAAGATTGATGCGTATATCGAAAAGAATTGTTGTCACCTGTCAACAACGGACCGTTCTACCTTGCGTGACCTTCTCCTGTAGTACCACGATGTATTTGCTCTTCATCCCGACGACCATGGGTACTGTGGTCTTGCGCCACATAAGATCGACACAGGTGATCATTCGCCTGTCAAACAACAACCTTACCGTGTTCCATTCCGTCATCGTGAGCAGCTCCAGAATATTATCAATGACCTTCTGCAGAAAGGTGTCATTACTCCCTCTGCGAGCCCGTGGGCTTCGCCTGTTGTCCTCATGCCCAAGAAAGATGGCTCTCTGCGTCTCTGTGTTGACTATCGCCGGCTCAACAAGATCACCATAGCTGATGCTTATCCTCTTCCTCGGGTCGACGATACCCTAGACGCGTTCTCTGGCTCTAAGGTATTCTCGACACTTGACCTTGCTAGTGGCTACTGGCAAATCGCAATCCACCCTCAAGACCAAGCTA